AGCTGCGCGAGGAGTTGCAGCTGCTGCGTGTGCAGCGGAGCGAGGACAAGCTGAAACTGCTGGAGCTGGAGCGCATCAAGATCCACAACGAACAGCTGCTGGAGTTCAAGTCGCAGATCATGACGCAGCAGGTGCTGCTGCAGCGCGAGTTGCAGCGCTGCCGGCACGAGCAGCGSGAGTCGCTGGAGCTGACGGCCAAATAYAAGCGGGAGCTGGACGACGTGGCCGAGAGTGTGGAGCTGCTGACACTGGACAAGGAAATGGCYGAGGAGCGTCTGGAGACGCTGCAAATGGAGCTGGAGACGCTGCAGGAGCGCAACGATGAGYTCAGCCTGGATCTGGAAATACTGCGTGCCGAGCAGGAGCAGGACCACAACGAAGACCAATGCCTGGAGAAGACGGAGAAGCAATCCACGAACACGACGACGCTGCAGTCGACGGGCGAGCTCCTGCGCCTCGAGCAATATAACCAGCGACTGCGAGAGACGGTGGTCCGACTGCGAGACACCCTGGCCCATGAGAAGCAGCTGGCGCAGCGCACACACAAGGAGCTGGAGACGAAACACTCGGAAATCAACGAGCTGAAGAGCATCAAAGAGCTGCAGAGCCGACGCGTCGATCAAATGGAAATGCAGCTGATGGACCTGAAGGAGCAGGTGGATGCTTCACTGGGCGCTGAGTCCATGGTCACGCAGCTGGCCACGCTCAAGCTGGAGCTGGAGGAGCGTGTGAAGCTGCTGGAAGATGAGGTCTCCGAGCTGGAGGCGCTGGAACAAATACAGGAGCAGCTCATCGAGAGCAACCAGGAGCTGGAATCGGATCTGCGGGACGAAATCGACAAGCTCAACRGCCAGGTGAARTCGCTGGAGCAGCARAAGAACGCCGCTGTGGAAAGCCTCTACGATCGTGATGTGACCATATTGAAGTTCAGAGATCTGGTGCGTCAGCTCCAGGAGCAGCTGCAGCTGAAATCAGACGGCGGCAATCTCTCCATCGAGGACTTCAGCAGCGCCAATGAATCGCAGCAGGAGGAGACCTCCCAGCAGAGCCTGGCCGACTACCAGCACATCTTCAGCGTGAGCAAGGCCTATGGACGGGCATTGGAGCAGCAGCTCAAGGCTGTCGAGCTGCGACTCGAGCGCCAGCATCTGGAGCACGTGCTGGCCTTTGTGCCCGAGCAGTTTCTCCTGCGCGGCGGTGAGCACGACGTGGTGCTGGTCATGCTGCTGCTGGAGCGCATGAACGACAAGCTGGAAATCGTTTGCCAGGCCATCAATGAGAAGTTTCCGAATGCCTGCGAGTTCGGTAAGTTAAAGCAGGGATAACTAATTGGAGAGTTGGAGGGAGAGATTATAAGAAAATTGTAGGTTATGGGCGAGAATGGAGAGAAGTGAAGAGAGTACCTAATATTCGAGTGCATTCTAATTAGTTTACCAATTGGAATATTTTTTGGCACTTAATAAATTTTGGCTATTAAGTAATTTTAGTATATTCTATTCATATTTTTAGACATAATGATTTCCTTTATTTATTTTAGTACTAAATTCCCAATTGGAATGCATGTGCACCTTAATTTGTGAATTAATTTTTATCTTTCAAATGGAATATCTATGGATCTTTTAAAAATAGAATTCCGCGTAGTTTAATAATTTTA